CTGTCCGGCAGCTGATCAGTGTTGAACGAAGAATAGCTGTTTGTTTTTCCACGAAGTTAGTTATTGACCACTTTCAGGTTGGTTAGATCCTTGTCACGTTAGTTTCGTGTGGACAATTTTCGTGCCGTTTTAAAAGATACTCAGTGTTGATGTTTCACCCCATTTAATATATTTCTTCTGTTGTAGATCCTTTACTTCATGACACTTCTTTTATTACATTTGTTAGTGAGTGCCGCTGTAATGGTGTATGAATATGAATGTAGTCATTATTCCTGCTAGAAATACTTATTGGAAACAGCTGTTGTAGACTTCCAAATTGAAGGTTTCTTACACGGACGGGTGTTCAAGTGTTATTCACACACCCAACACTTGAACAACGGCATATTGAAGATCTAGTTATAGATAAAGATTCCTAAAGATCAGCTGTTTTTGTTTGATCGGGGTGTCGCCGCTTAAATTGTTTACCTTAATATTTTTTTAAAATCGTGCACCTTAGACACTGTATACCTCATAAAGTTGGTTAAGAAAATTATGGGCGACACTGATCACTCTTTGTATCCATCAGTCTTCCAGTTTTTTGCTAAATCAAACTATTTCTAGACCAGTTATTCAAGTCGATCATCCAGTATTGTCACTCAGACGGCCAGCGAGGCGCAGCATCTCTGAGACAACTAGCGAATAGGCAGTCGAAGACGGTCGTTTCTGCATAAAACTGAAGACAAAATGGCAAAAATAGCAAGCGTTCAGTTGGCTAAATGACACCTGAAATTGTGATACAAATTTAATGGCGCAGGTCTGACGTTCTGAGGAACGAATGCGCAAAAGCGAGGTCGAAAAGTAGGGGAAAGTATACGGCGATTGTAGGGCGATGGAAACAATGAGCGAAAGCAGAAAGTGTCGGTTGGTGATATCACTGACTTCTCCTGGGAACTACGTACATTCCTGACAGTGAGCTGTACTAACAGCACACAGAAATCTGAAATCTTTTTAGTTTTTAGCCAAATCCAATAGACTTGGACAGTTGAAAAGAGCTGTAGAGCCGTTATATAGTCAATAAGGCTTTGTTTTCATCTCCATTTGAGACTCAAAGCTTGAAAGATGAAGTTACTCACATAAATGATGTTTGTTTGTATTGAAACGTGCTTTAGATTTGTGGTACAGGAACAAGGCACGCTACATCAAAAATCCTTTGAGTGTTGAGAATTTTGGACGCAGTGTAGCTTAAAGACACCTTAGTAAAGCATGGATGGAAGTTGTACAGCCTTTTTGCAACCTAATTGTGACCGCGCGAAGTAAAACAGTCAATGATAGATGATCAGACAGCATGGGTTTCGCAACAAACCCCTTGATCACAGAACTGCTCAGTAACTCAGCCCTCAACGCGGAGTTACTCATGCGAAAAAAAAGTTTCTACATATCACTTAGTTAAGGAGTTCGTTCATGTTCTTATCTTTAACACAACTTATCAATGTCAAGTCGTATTTTCTATAGTTTGTGAGCAGCTTCTAAGTTTTAGCTGATGTTTCGCTTCCATACGTTAGCTCTGAAAGCACGCCCTGATCGAAGACTTTCCGCTTCAAGCGCAAGGGCAGCTTTCCGAATAAGAACATTTTCAATTTTCCAAAAATGCCTCATGCGATTTTAACTCTTTTGTTAATTTCACGAAGTCAATTCTCCTTTGCAGAGATGCGCTAACCTTTCACTTTCAAAGATGGGAAGAAATTTGATTTTCCACTAATGCTCTACGCCATGCTACAATCTAAGCCTATTCTTATCTTAAACCACGGCCATTTTTGACTGCCTGTTATAACCATTTAATGCATCTGCTCTATGCAGGTGAAGTAAACAGTGAAACAGAAGATGCACCAGTTGCACAGGAGTAAGAAAAAGTAGAAAAGAAGGTGGTAAAAGGAGAATGGATAAATAGACTGGTTGACAGATGCTTAGATAAATATACAGATAAATGCGTAGATACATAAATTGGTAGATGAGCGCATGGATAAATAATATAGTATTTAAATAGGTATATCGACTGATTGGTTGATGAGTAGTTGACTGATTGTCGTGAAGAGTTGTGTAGATAAGAACAAATATACGTGGACTAACAGATAGACACAGATAAATGAATATGATGTCGCTGGGGAGATAGAACGATGGACGCATATTCATAGATTGATTGACAGATAGACTGTCAGATGGGAGCATAGGTAAATGGTTCATACTCTAACCAGAGCAGCTGCCAACCTTGACATTTTTAGCGCCTATTCTTGCTGACAGCGTTTTTCACTTAGACCACTTGATAGGTGGAAAACAGCTGTCACAGTGTGTTATTTGACTGCGGGTTATTGTGCGACACTAATGCAGGGAATAGCGATTTGAAGGTCTGACTGTGGAGCCGGGTACGGGCGAGGGGGACTGTCATTTTTAAATCTTGAAACAGAAATCTACGGTTCTTTTACGTTCCTGATGATGAGAAGAAAATTTTTTTAGTGGTGCTTTCGTCTAAAGGGTTGTCTGCGATGTATAGCTGGTAGTAACAAA